AATAAATTCGGAATTATAAAAAAATAGCACTGTACACAAACGTGATGATTAATTTTTATGTGTTCGTGTGATGACGACCAGTGGTAGAAGAAGTGATCACTCATCGTGATCACTGTGCCTTTTTCTTGACTGTTACTATTGTTATGTTACCTATTATAAAAAATTCGTTTAATCTCTTTATGACTCATATGTGATTCCGAACATTTGATAAGATTTTGGATATGTGTTTGTGTGATACGTTATCAGTTACAAATACATCTACAAATTTTGCAATGCATTTTTATATAGAATTAGATTGTTGTTACTTTTTTTAAATGAATCTTCAACATGACAAAATACTCAGTATATGATCTAAAAATATAATTTCGTTGTACTTACAAAATCTAATGTAGCTACTTTATTCGTTTTAGCTTCTTCCAAGATGTTTATTCTCACTATATCGGGATTTTTAGGCAAAAGAGAGTTGATTATTGCTTTTTGAGAAAAATGCTAAATCTTTCCAAAGATTTAATTTTTGCTTCCAACAATACTGCTATAAGCATAACTATGAAGGAAATAAATTTTATATCCATTCTCACAGTGATGTTGACGATTGTAAATTATAATTAGTAAATAATGACAGTAATTATTTAACATAAATTTCGAAGTACCGATCTTCATTTACACTTCAAGAAACCTGAAAATGATATTAATATTATTTATTAATATTATTTATATTATTATTATTTTATTGATTCTTTTTTAAAATAAATATCAAAGAACTGAAGAAATTTATTAAATTGCAATATTTATAATTTCTATTTTAATTTCTAATTTTTTAAATTAAATACCCGGATACTTAGTAATTTTATTAAAACTTATAAAATTTATTAAATTTATTTGAAATTAAATAAATTGAAATAAATTATCACTTACTACTCTACTTGAATACATTTATTTTACAGAAAATATGAATTTATTTTGAATTGTTCTATTGTTAAGACTCGGTTGTCTCTCTGCAGCCATATTGAATTATGACGTCAGAGGCGAGAAATGACATGTAAAAAATTTCTTGCGTCGTACAGCTTTGTCTTGTACATTTCCCTTAAAAGCATGATATTTTCGTATTCTTAAAACTTATAAAAAATATCAGAAAGTAAGATATCTGTCCAATAAATCACGTAAAAGTGTAAAATAAATCTTGAAATAATGGTACAATGCTTAGCTATCAGAAATTACCAGATCACTAGATCTAGTTGTTTCTGATAGCTGAGTAGTGACCATTATTTCAAGAATTTTACACTTTTACGATGATTTATTGGACAGGTGTCTTACTTTCAAGTATTTTTTACAAGTTTTAAGAATACGAAAATATCATGTTTTTAAGAGAAAAGTACAAGATAAAGCTATATGACGCAAGAAACTTTTTACATGTCATTTCTCCCTCTGACGTCATACAACTCATATCGCGCCACTGAGAGAACTGAGCCTTAATCCTATCATTATTCTATTAATCTAATATCTCGATATATTTTAATAAAGAAAATAAGATCACAGATTATTTAAAAGATATATTATATATAGGATATATTATATTATATATTATATATATAAGGATATATTAAACTCAATCATTTCTATAAGTATATTTAATGTATGTATGTTTATTGAGTTAATAAATAAGTTAAATTGTAAATAAAGGGACCACTCAAAACTAAATCAATTTTTGAATCAATCAAGTGTAATTATAATTCTTCTTATAAACTTTTATAATTAACCGGATTCCTAATTCTATTTCTTAATCGTTATCTGGTTATGTCTGGTTGAGAAATTTTAATATACGAATAAGAATTTGTCTAATGAGATAACTTGCTTAACCTGAATATCGAAAGAAAAAAAGAGAGAAAGAGGGATTATCTTTAGATTTTATTTAAAAATTGCTAGTTGCGTGATGTGTATAAAGATAAAGTTTACAAAGCACTTTATTTTTAAAATTTGAAATAGAATAGTTATGATCTAAAATAAAATAAATTAGCTCTTTGAATTAATCACAATTTAGATATAAAAGTACATTATTGATTATAATTAATTAAACACTTTTTACTTACTTTTTAAAGTTAATTTTTTCTTCGAAATTAATTTTAGAAATATAGAATAAATTATTCTAAATAATTTATTTTCATAGGTCTTATTTTTTCATAGGTCTTATTTTAAATACATTTTGTATGTATTTTAAAAAGAAAAATATAATTTTTATACGTATTATATATTATATAATTTCATACTTCATTTCAAAATATTTTAAATAGAATACATATTTCAGAATTACAAAATTTCTATAATTTCTATAATTTAATATTTTTGATTATTCTGTATAATATAAAAGTATTAAAATAATGTTATAAAGAGTTAATAGTTTATAAATTATTTTTAAACCATTTATAAAATATTTTAGCATGCAATAAAAGAAATGTGTACATATATACAGATACACATATGCATATACATATCACTTTTACAAAATAATTTTCTTCATTAAATTTTTAAGAGATATTTACTTATGAGGGGACAGTTTACTTATGAAATATATAAAATTATATAGGTGCATGCATTATAAATGCTTCCCCTTTATATTGTTTAATTTTCCATTTTGTAATATTTACAAAATATATAAAAAGGTTTATTTAAACCAATAAATTCGAAATTTAAATTAAAAACAATGACTTGTCTACGTTATTATTTACTCTTTTTATTATTCTTTATATATTGCTTTTTTTTTTAATATGACAAACTGTATTTAACTGTATTTTCACCATCATGATTTTTCAAGAACTAAATTTTTGTTGTACCATATTGTTTGTAACTAAAATTTTATTATTTGTATCATATATTTTAGATTTATTAAATTATTAATAACATTTACATTTAG